TGGAGATAAGAGTCTCAAGGCTTTCCTGCCTGAGCTAGTTTTGAACCACAATCCTCAGATCTTAGCCTCTGAAGTAGCCAAAATTACAGGCATGAAACACTGCTGCTGGCACATTTCTTCTTATTTAAGCATTTAGGAAAATTTTGGCAGTCCTACTGAGAAAAAGAAAGTGAATCCAATCAATGTGTCTCATAGCTGGGAGAAGGCAATGTTATGTATGAAAGAAGTTATGTAGAAACATAGGTCCCATGGTTTCCCTCATTTGTAATTAGTATATGCCAAGGATATTTCTAGCAGATGAGCAGAATAACTGAATAGCTATGTACATATGGCCATGTAAGATGATGCTAAGGGAAATGAGACATGGACATAAGAGATTTTCTTTGTTGTTGTTGTTTTTAATCTATTATGTAATTTCTTCTTTCTTTTGTGTGTTTTATTTTTTCCTCACTATGGTTTATCCCCTGTTGTCACTGGTTTTGACTTTGGTAGTCTGGATATAGTATATCTATATCTATCTCCATCTTTATCTCTATCTATATCTATATCTCTATCTATTTATCTGAATTAGGGAAGGGAAGGGGAACAACAAAATGGTGAGACAAAGGACAAGGGGGGAAACCAATGCAACAGCGATACTCACAAGACACTATGTTGGAAATGATCTGTACAATGATCTGTACAAGGGTTTGGAGGAGGGAAAGTGGGAGAAAAATGAGGGAGGTGGTAACAAGTTCGCCAAGAAATATACTCACTACCTTATGTAACTGTAACCCCTCTGTCCATTACCTTGACAATGAAATTTAAAAAATGGAAAAAAATGGAAAAAGAAGGGGTGGTAGGGGAAAAACAAAGGAGTGGGTAGCAATGCTCGATAGGAAATGTACTCATTACCTTACTCATGTAACTGTAACCCCTCTGTACAGTATCTTTACAATAAAAATATTAAAAAAAGTTATGTAGAGTGTGCTTTAAACCCATCTATAAGGTTTAACCAAATTATATGATTAACAAATTAACCATTTGTAGTTATTTTACTGTATCATGACATTGGTGTGGTCAAAGGTGTAGGGAACATTTATATGTGTCAATCAATTCTTTATTTTTTAATTCAGCTGGAGAATTTGTTTCTGTTATAATGTTTTTTGACACTTAAACTGTTTTCCTGAGTTGTGAAACATAATAAAAAGAATATTTTGATTTAAATCTAGAGTAGATCTTTTGTTCAGTCTAATGGACTACCGTTAGAGTGATGACATTTGCAAATTGTTGGATTTGTGAGTCAATTACCAAGTCTAATTACTTCCTTTCTCTTTGTGTCTTTTTGGCAAATTTTGGTAAATTGTCTTTTTAATAAATTTTCGTGAATTGCCTGGATGTTGGCAGTGGTACTTTGGTTCTCATTTGTTTTATATTCTTAAGTTTATCATTAGTTTAAGGTTGAAGTTTATTTTATCCTTCACACTTAGGAAAATATCCATCTTAGAAATAAGTGTTAATGGGGCTGGGAAGGTGGCTCAGTGGTAGAGCACTTGCCTTGCATGCCTGAGGCCCTGGGTTCGATTCCTCAGAACCACATTAAAAAAAAAAACCGGAAGTGGCGCTGTGGCTCAAGGGGTAGAGCTCTTCAGCCTTGAGCTGAAGAGCTGAGGGACAGCGCCCAGGCCCAGAGTTCAGGCCCCAAGACCGGACCCCCCCCCCCAAAAAAAAAGAAATAAGTGTTAATGAAACAATTAATGCATCAATGTCTTAATCTCTAAAGTAGAATTGTTATCTACATCACCTAAGAGTCAAATAATTTATGTGTTTAAGAGTCTTCAGTATATAGAGGATAAGTCTGTGCAAGTACAAGAAGATAAGGCCTAAGTCTTGTTCAGATAATTTAAATAAAATATATATTCCTATCTAAAACACCTCAATTTTCCATCTTGGTTGGATTAAAAAAATCCAACGAAAGGAGGGACAATGCTCAGTGCTCATATGGGCCATACTGACAAAACAAACTATGGAGAGGCCATTTTTGTATTGTCTTACAAAACTATTTTCAAATTTGTAAGCAATCTTTTAGAACTATGGGTGGAAACTTTCTTGTTAATTATTTTTTTATTTTTGTATTTGTGTATTATAAACAAAATAATATCTGTCAGATATTGTTTGATGGGTTCTACTCTATAATAAGGTAATAGTTCCATTCCATCCAATGGAGAAATATTTATAAAAACCTTTGAATGTTCTAGGTATGTTTATTGCAGGACTAAGTTACTTCTCAATGTTTAGATCAATTTCAGGCAAAAAGCAATAGGAATATGTATTGCACCATTTCACTCTTATTTTTTTCAGTCAATCTGTGTCTTTGAATTTAAAAGTCTGTTATGAATTATTCACATATTTCTAAGAGTTTGTTTTTTTTAAGATAACTTGCTTATCTGTGCTTTATTGTTCGATTATGGTTCTTACTATCAAATACTTCAATTTATTATCAGGAATTGAACAATTTCTCAAGCCCACTGACAATTATTTATCCTAGCTACCTCCCCTTTCTTAGAATTTTCCCCTTTAGTGTTGATTTATTTATATTAATCATGCCATAGAGAAAGCATTCCTGTTACTTTCTTTCTCTTGCTTTCTCTTTCTCTCTTCCTTTCTCTCTCTCTTCCTTTCTTCCTTCCTTCCTTCCTTCCTTTCTTTCTTTCTTTCTTTCTTTCTTTCTTTCTTTCTTTCTTTCTTTCTTTCTTTCTTTCTTTCTTTCTTTCTTTCTTTCTTTCTTTCTTTCTTTCTCTCTTCTTTCTCTTTCTTTCTTCTCTTTCTTTCTTTCTTTCCTTTCTTCTTTCCTTCCCTTCCCTTTATCTTCTGTCTCCTTGATATTGTACCCTGTTTTGCTCTATCATTGTTTAAACTGAGAATTCAAACTGAGGGGAAAAAAAACCTGTGAAATGATTCTAGTTCATCAGGAAGGAAGATGGTTTTGCTGCTAACACATACGAAGTCACAGTTGAAAGCATTTGAAGCATTAAGAATTAGACAACTGTAATGTTTTATCACACATGATATTTTGTTTGGTATTTATAAGATATGCCACATGGGAAGTTCGTAAATGGGTGAGTAGAGACAAGAGTAAAATCTGTAAAACAAGTGATTTTAAGGTGTTTCAGATAGTCAAAAGCAATAGCACTTTTATTGTTATTGTTGTTTGTTGTTGTTGTTGGGGAAGACAGCTTTAGAGAAAGGGAAAGACAAATTATTGTGTTTTTTGTAGTTGTTTCTCTTTAGGAACTTACTAAAAATATCAGAGAATAAATATTTCTTTTATTTTTTTCTCCTGTCATTTTTCTAAAGGTGACTTTATTCCATGATAAATAGTTAACTTACAGAATCAATCATGTCAAAGTGCTAAAGTGGAAGATGCTTTGTTTATTTCTCAGTTAAAATTAAAAAAAAAAAAGCCAAGAAACTCAGGGATTCAAAAAACAATTCCAGTGCTCAAATCTACATTTCCCATCTGTGCAATGAAATTACATTGTGACATACATTTTAAAATAAGATAAATTGAAAAGACTAACTTCCTAGAACAAAAAATAAGATATTGAAACAGATATTCAAGACAATCTCATCTTTAAAAAAAAGAGACTAAATTACCGGGTTAAATGTAATAAAAGTATTTCATTTGAATTTTTAGAGGTGTATGATCACATTAGTCTGAAGAGGAACAATAATGCATATCTTTCATAAAAATGACAAATGTTCTTCACATGATGTTATTTATTTTGGGAAACTTTTGCCTGAGGATCCCTTTCTAGCACTGAGAATTGCTGTCATCTTTTCTTATCAGTAGTGATTCTAGTTTCCTTCAATTGTTTTGTTTTCAACATATTCCATTAGTTTCTATATATTTATCATTTAATTTGGAGTTTGACCTTGAAAAATCTTACATCTTTGGTAACAAATGTGTAATACCTATTGCTGATCCTTGTGTGAAGTGCTGTTTGACAAAGGGTTTGATGGGTGAAAACAAATGGCTTCCATGGGATGTGAAATCCCGTGGGAAGCTGAGAAGTGATAGGAACTGCAAGTGATGAGGCTTAAGGCATGTCACCCCAAAACATGGAACCAGAGCATTTGAAAAAAACACCAGCCCAAACAGGAACACCCCTACCCTGGCCTTTTCAAAATTTTGTTCTTTCTTTCTCTCCTGAATCATGTGATGAACCTAGAAATTAATTTTCTGACCTGTATTGAATTAAGTCATAACACTTCCATACAAGAGATATCTATCAAATGGAGAAAAAGAAAGCCTTATCTCTGTAGTCATGGGAATTCAAAGCAAAACTAGAAAAAGCAGGTCTACTTAGCCACCTGGAATCTTTCCTCTTTATTACCCTTAGATCTCATCTCTTTTGTTTAATCACACTTCTTCATAACTATCTGCTTCTTCATTACACTTTGTGTAAAATAGATTTTTCCTATTTTAATGGATCTTTCCCGAAGCTCCTGGATACATAAAACTTAAAGTTGTACTTTTCTTTTGTCAATGTCTTTTAGTACAGGGGCTACAGCTATAAGTAGAATGATGGGTGGAAGAATTCCTTTCCTACACAATCCTCTGTAATATGTGTCATGATCTATATTATATAGATGCCCAACATTCCTATTTCTTCTTAGCAACACAAAAAATTAAAGTTTAAGTAGGACAAAACTTCCCTGAATATCTATCTCAACCTGGAAAAATAAGTCATTTCAGTGGGCACATAATTAAGCTTAGCAAAAAAATGTGGTTTTGCCTCTTGTTTTCTTTATTTTTTTTTCCAATGAAAAATGCAATAGAGGTATATTAATTAGTCCATATAATCTTTTTATGATGCAATTTTTCTTCATTCTTATGAGACTTTGGGAACTAAATTTAACTTTTTAATTTATATAGTAAAAGTTTTATTCTTGATACCTTGGAACAAAGATATTCAGATCGAGACTGTAAGCAGGACTCAATCCCATTCAGTTTGCGTTCAGCCATCTAATTCCAGGGAATTCATGGCAGCCTCAAGCTGGGAGACTCCTCGCTTCTGCCGCAGCCGATGCCTCTCAAGCATGCTCTCTAGCATCCACTTGGTATGGTCCCTGTGTACAGAGGAGCCCTGAATCACCACCTCAGTGAGGTCAGAAGATTCCAGTCTTCAGCTCAAGCCTGACCTTGCACACTTTCTCGATGTGAGGGATCCGAGATCCCTGTGGACCAAAGACGCCATCCAGCAGGCACGTCTGCACCTGGAAGGCCAGCGATCCGTTGTCGAAGTATTCTTCGAATTCATGACTGTTTTGGTAAGGTCGACTTGTCTGGGTCGATTCCATTTCGAATGCCTCAAAAATTTAGCTGAGCAAAGAAGACGCTAAGCCTAAAGACAGATGTGTGCAAAGCCCAGCACCTGAGTGTTAAATTTAATTTTTTATGGGCCAAGTAGATTATATTTCTTGTTGTATGTATTAAATCCCTTAATAGTGAGTTTGTATCTAGACATGGTTTTCTTCCCTGTGTGTTTTACATTGTCACTCATGTGAGAAATCTGTAGATTCTAAGTGGTAAAATAACGTTAAAAAATGGAAAAAAAAGACAGCTAAATTTAAGGTTGTGAAAGTAATTTATATTCCCAAGGAGTCAATAGAAAGTATTTTTCTTGAACCTTTTTGTGAGAAGTGGTTATTCGCTCTGTAGAATCCAATGACTTGGCAGTAAAGCTCTGTCTTTGATGCCATAATAAATGTTTATTAAAATCTCAGATTCTTTTATACATATACTAATCTTAAACTACAAATATAGATTAACATCTGTTCCTGTTACTTAGTTAATGAAGACATGAATAATATCATGCAAATAACATATACACACATATGAACACATAATACACACATATACTCACATGTTTACTGAGATTCAAAAGGTCAGACTCTTTTGATATTTTATTGAAATAAGGACGTGGCTATTAGTCTAGAGAAGAATTCAGATTTAGAGTTTAAATTAGGAACTCTTCTTTCTTTGCTTTATATAAATTTCTACCTTACTGTAAGAAAGAAGGAAAGGTGCTTATTAGAGTTTCATTTCTAAGTCAGTTTCATGGAGCTATTTAATTTAAAACTGTCCCTTAAAATACAAGTCTGTTTCTTAGCTATACATAATATCTATAATCTGGGTGCCAGTGGCTCACACCCATAATCTTAGCTACTCTGGAGGTTGAGATCTGAGGATCACAGTTGAAAACCAGCTTAAGTAGGAAGGGCTGTGAAACTCTTATATCCATTTAACTACCAAAAAATTGAAAATGGACTTATGGCTCAAGTTGGTAGAGTGTGAGCCTTGAGTACAAAAGCTCCTACACACTGAGTTCAGCTCAGGCCTGACACACACATACAATCTCACACACCCATACACTCACACACCCACACACAACCAGAATAAGGTGTATCTATAGCTATACTGATAGAATATGCATAGTGTCTACATTTGGCACTTTGTACAAGTTCACTCAATACTGGTTTTCTTCAATGCATACTGGTGGAATGCTCGAAAGGGGAACTGGAATATGAGGAGACAGTCCTTAAGAGTCTGTCATCTAAGCTTATTTGACATTTTTCTTTACTAATGTTGAGGGGAAAACCTCTCAGAAGGGGCTCAGCAAACATATGAAATGTTTATTACAAAGCTGCCAGAATTTAACCTTAGAGTATTTCCAATTGACAAAGTAGCTGCAGGATATGAGCATTCTCATTATAATGTCATGGCAACATTACTGAAATGATTAACTATCCAAGTGGGATGACGGATGTTGTAGATTGGTGATGTCCCTGGCAGAACATATTGCTTAATTATCTTCTTTTAGTAGCAGCATACAGTCACGTTCATGCGATCAAGTACTGTTTCAAATGAATATGAAATAAATTCATAAGGAGAGAATATTTAAAGTTCTTATCCAATAAAAGAGCAGATTAAATGTCAGATCTTCATTAGGAGTTCTTTAATCAAAGTTCTTTTTGTAGTTTTATGACAAATCCTTCCATTTTACATTTGACCCAAAGACCGTGAGATCTAAAAAGAACTGTTCTTTCACTTGAACTCAGAAGGAATTTAATGATTATTAAAAGTAGAATTTATAGTCTAGAGGGTAGGACTCATGATCAGAATCTGAAAAGCCTTTAATTTTTCAGTGCTGGAGTTAATGTCATCTCTGCTATTTTATAGGGTTATAATAAAGCCTTGACTTAGTTTCTCCATATGTTTTAGATAGAACATAGTAAAGTTTACAAATATTTCTTCTTTTGTAACATTTATCAGGTGTCATCAAAATTCTTAATAGCCAGTGGTGAGCTCATATCCTCCTAAAAAAAATAGTTACTACCTTTAGGCAAGTTTTGTCAAGTAATTATCTGTTTTAAGTAGTATTTGAGAAATAACTTCGAGATGGTATAGTGGGATATAACATTCTCCAAGGCCCACAGCAAAACACTGTTTTGCTTTTCCAGTTGAAAAATATATTGCATAGTAATAAAACCCTAACAGCAGGGAACTTCATGAATGCTCATCTTAGATAGCTTCTGTGAAATCCTAAAACTACAGATTCCAGAATAGGAGAGCTTTGCTTCGGAATTAGCTGATTCAGCAGAGAAATTGGCTCCTGTTGATTATAAAGTCCAAAGGATTTATTGTTTATTTTGATTTTATGATATTGCTGTAGTAGAGCTGGAACATCAAAGATGTTTCATGGCAGAAATGACAGCTATGTATTCATATCTTGGGAAACGATCTACTTTCGAACTAAAGTCAAGAATTGGTCTTATCTGAAAAGATTTGTGGCAAGCATACCCTTACAACTCTGTTGAGTTCAAATATGGGAGAAATGATCTCAGAGAAAATGCTGCATTTTGGTATTAGTCTGTATCAGTTCGAACTCTTTGTAGATGTCATACCTGCTCTCATAAACAATTTTACTATTAATGATGGCTAAAGACAAAGCAATATTGTGATGGAATTGTGGTCTAACAGGGCCAATGATTGGTGCGCAATTGAGTATGTTAAATTATAAATATTCAAAAAGGTTACAAAACAAAAAAATATTTATCCAAGGCCCTAAAATATAAAGCAATGATTAATTGGAAGCCACATGTTTCTGAATCCAATCATTAAAATATGTTCTTTGAGCAAAACACTGCTCTCCTAGACCAGATAGAGCAGATAGAGCATTGAAGGAGTCTTCTGTACTTTCCTTGCGCAGTAGTTGTGGAAATAAGGGCTGGGAGGTAATACATTTACAGAGCATTCATCCTATTTGAACAGCTGCCTGTCCGGTGTGTTGATAAATTATTATTAGCTTAACAGAGATGTCCAGCAGAATGACAGATTAAGTAACTTGTTATGGTACATTCAATGCCTTGTCTATTAAAATGTTTAATAAACATGTATTTGATAAACAAAAGAATGATCTGTAAAAAACAGAAGTTATGATTATTAGATGACAGGCTAGAAAAGATAGATATTCAGTATGATATTTTTTAGGTTAGGATACAAGATGAGACAAGTAAAACTTTATAAGAATAAAAACAAAATTGTGAGCATAATTTAAAACATTGACATGGCTTTCAAGGAGGAATGTGATGGTAGTTTCTGTGAGTAAGAAAGCATGGCAGAATATGCGACTCAGTTGCTAAAATTGTTTACAGAGACCATGTCTTACATTCATGCCTAACAATCACTGGAGATCACCTGCCTATGACAGACTATTTTCCAACCAAGGATAATAATCTCAAGAAATGAAGTCTGTTGAGCTCGGCATGTTGTCATGCCTGTAATCTTAGCTACTAAGGAGGCTGAGATTGGCAGGATCAAGGTTCAGAGCCATCTGAGGCAGTCTTGTGATTCCATCTAAACCAACAAAAAAGCTGCGCATGATACTGTGATTCTGTTATCCTAGCTATATTGGGAGCTATATCGGCCCAGACAAGCCTGGGCCAAAAGAGAGATTATACTAGACAAAGAACTAAAGCAAAAAAAGGGTTACTCAAATGGTAAAGTCTCTGCCTAGTAGGCATAATTAACTTATTGCCACCAAACCAAAACAAAGAAACAACAAAACAAAACAAAAACAAAAGTAAAGAGAAGAAAGAAAAAATTGAGTCTATTCTACTCCCTACAATATGAATAGGTATATTGGCTACTTGAACGAACAAAATATGGCCAAAATGACAGTAGTCCAGATATAGGCATAGCCTTTAACTGCTAACTGAAGTGTTATTTTTCCTGTTTCTTAGAAGTCAGTTGCCATATTAGAAATGCAACTGTTTGGGGGTGACTTTAAAGGTCAAATCTAAGTGGTAGTTCCCTGTGAAATTGAGGAGCAAGAAAAGAAAGGTGGATATTAAAGATTGCTGAGGTTTGTTAAGAGATTGTCAGGTGACTTTAGTCCCATTGCTGTTAGACTTGCAATAACTTGCAAGGTCCTAAACAAGAAATTGGATAAAGCTGGGGAAACCACAAGACTGTGAAATAAACTAACAAACTGTTGTTTTAAGTCACTAACTTTAGGGATAGTTTTTAATGTAAAAGTAGATAACTGGAACACTGAGCTATTGAGAGTTGTAATTAGGTTCTAGGTGGGTAATGATGTAGATTGCATCCAATCACTCTGTCTACGAAAGGGAAAAAAAATGGGGAAGAAGATGTGATCATTGTCCAAACACAAGGCTCTGAAATGGGAGACTAAGGAAACTTCGTTTGCTTTATCCCATCAAGCAGAAGTGAGGGAAGAATTAAATTTTCTGGGAAGTGGGTGCTTTCAGAAGCATGTTTTGTGTGTGTGTGTGTGTGTGTGTGTGTATGTGTGGTGTGTGTTTGTGACATGCATTATTACTAATAGAACCAGGCATTTTGCAGGGTCATGAGTTACTGTGAAGATTTTTTTGTTTGTGTGTTTTTATTTTTGTGCTAGAAAATATTAAATGGTCATTCACCTTTGATGCAACAGAGGAAAAAATATTTAGATATGGGTTCTTTTTAAAATTTTATTTTATTGCAAAGATGCTGTCCAGAGGGGTTACAATTACACGAGTAAGGTAATGAGTACATTTCCTATTGAGAATTATTACTCCCTCCTTCATTATTCTCCCATTATCACTTCCCTCCCCCAACCTCCCACTCCGTACCCCCACCCCAAGTTGTAAAGTTCATTTCCAACATGGTGTCTTATGGGTATCATTGTTACAATGGGTCATCCTGTGTCCTTGTTTCAGCATTTTGTTATTCCCTTTCCCCTCTCCAAGTTGGACAAATGTATATACAAGATGAGGGTACCAGTATCAAGTACAGT